CACTTCTTTCGAGCCTTTCTTTTGTTTTGTATTAAATCCCTTATTTCTTTGGGCTTGTTTTTTATATGACAAGTAGTTTTTCTACGAATGCCAAGCTCCTACATGATATTGATTTGATACATTGTATAATGATGAGGATAATGCTAATAATAGTCCAGTCATTTAAGCTTAAATTAGGTAAGAATCTCGGAACTGGAGATACCCAGCTGTAAGTCTGTAAATACTTGTATATTGACACGCTAAAAGTTATTTCAAAACCTACATATGGTAGGGTGTACGCAACTATTAAATTTCAAAGTCAAATGTCACAAAAATCGGTTTTTTGCGCTTTTTTGTAAATATCTCATTTTTTATGGGTTTTTTGCTATTTGTATTTATTATCAATATTGTAGAATACAAAATTCTCTACAAATTTTGTTTAAAAAATTCAGTAAGAACGTAAAAGCTATGGAGCAGCAGAGAAGATGAAACAATAGTTGTACCAGTTACTCAAGAAAAATTCTTATCAAATCGAAATAACAAAGATATGCTCATTAATATGTTAATTGAAAAATTACAAGCTGCAAATATTACTACTAAACAAGCCAGAGATAATGCTGATGTTCTTATTGTTAAAACTGCAATTGAAGAATCAAATTCTGAAAAAACTGCAGTTATAATAGGACAATATATTGATTTACTTGTCATTTTAATTGGGCGTACACTGTCTTACGAACAAGACATTTTCTTTAAAAAAGTTGGGAAAGGAAATGTAAAAACGGGGATATACTTGACTAAAAGTTTTGATAATTATCCTCATTCCAAAACACATATTTTATTTCTGCACGCATTAAGTGGCTGTGACACAACTTCTGCGCTTTTTAAAAAGGGAAAAAATCATTTTTTAAAGTTTTTGAGAAACTGACAAATTTGAATGAACTAGCTGCAGCATTTGAGAAAGAAAATTGTTCGGCCCAGAGATTATTAGAGAGTGGAACTCAAACCTTATTGGCAGTCTATAATGCTCCGAAAACTGTGAAAAGTCTCGAACATCTTCATTATATGCATTACGTCAAGTCTACAAAACTTAATAAATCTGTGCAGCACCAGGAAGACGACGATGAAGAGGAAGAAGATTATTAAAATTATAAATTGTAGTTTTTGTACCTTTTATTCCATTTTTTTACTTTTAATAAAAATAAATGTATTGAATGAAATTTTTTAATAAAAAGATTAATTCATAATTTATTTGTTTTTTTTTTCATCATGTAAGAATTTATTAATATTAATTAGGTTAAAATTCAAATATAATTCCTATATTTTCATTAACAATTTTGCAATTACATGGGCAGGTAAGTGTTGTTAAATAAATTAATACTAAATAAAAAGTGGATAGGTTAGGAAAAAAAATGATAAAATATAATATAATAGTTAATAAAAATTGACAAATATTTATAATCATTGATTTATCGACATTTCATCAACTATATATGGCGCGTTTTCGACCGGAGGCACCGGTTGACCTGAAGTGATGCTGTGACCGCGCGCTCTCCGTCATCTATCTCGAAAACGGTTCACCGGATGAAAAATTTTTTTAAACAAAATTTTTAGAGAATTTTGTATTCTACAATATTGATAATAAATACAAATAGCAAAAAACCCATAGGAAATGAGATATTTACAAAAAAAGCGCAAAAAAACCGATTTTTTTGACCTTTGACCTTGAAATTTAATAGATGCGTACACCCTACTATATGTAGGTTTTGAGACAACTTTTAGGGTGTCAATATAAAAGTATTTACAGACTTACAGCTGGGTATCTCGAATTCCGAGGTGAACTTACTATAATGATTGGACTATAATCATACCTAAGTTACAAAAAAAAATTCAAAATAGCCGAATCTTCTAAAATACTTTTTGCAAATGAGAAAAACTTTATTTTCTTAAAAACTTATAAGAATAGCATTGAAATTTTTGTTATTATATACAGAAGATAACTAATATACCACTACTACCGGCTATTTCGTCTTACTTTTTTTTTTTTTCAAGAAATCGCCAGTCACTTGGATCGCTTTAAATAGGAAATTGATATGAACAAAAGCAGAAGCAATTATGTACATAATAGAACGAACAAATTGGGTAAAAATCGAGCATTGTTTGAAGCACAGCCGCTACAATCTTTCATGGAAAAACCGTGAAATTCTTTAATTTCGATGACAATAACCCTTTGATGGTCTCGAACAACATTCTAGATCGCCACCCGACCGATTCGTTCTTCTTATATGCACAAAAAATATAAAACGAATACAGAATTAGCTCACTATTAAAAAATACGAGGTTGTTTGATAAGTAGGACTTTAGAAATGGAATCGATGAAGATATTAATATGATGCTTCCGACTTTTTGACAAGCTTGATAAATTATTCAAATGTTACTGAGGAAAATATTTGTTTTAATTACATGTTGGTATCGTCGAGGCGAAATAAGACTCTCTTGTCTTGTGCCGTCAATAATAGGGGATGCACAATAGATTTAAGGCCTAAGTATCACCCCACAAAATATATAAAATGTTATTTTCTCACATTAAAATTGATTCCATATGTAGCTTGAAAGTTGAAAACAATATTTTTGTTTTTGAGGGGGTCAAAAAGTTACTGGGTGGTCAAAAAAAATTACTGGGTAGTCAAACATAGTCATTCGGTGTTCAAATGTTACTGTTAAAACTAAATAGACCGTCAGATAGTGACCGATTTAGGTGCCCCATTTTCGCACTCAAGCCTTGAAGAGGTTTGAAAACTACATCGATGTTGAGTAGAATAAAATAAAATTTACGACTGGCTCTTGGGGAACACAGGGAAAATTCGATTTTCCTTATCAGAAAAATTTTCCGAACCCAAAATGCACTTATACAGTTAGGTCATTCAAGAAAATATATTTTTCGGACTAGTGACGATGTACGTTTTCATACATTCGATGGGCTTATGTGGAAAAATTTGGTAAAATCTCGATATTTCCTTAGAAGATTACGCCCTTATTTCAGCCCTTTAGCCACTTGCAACATTAAAGCCTTTGGTTTTCCAAAGCCTAGTTCTATTAATTAATCATATAGTGAAAGCGGCTTGTGTGGAAATATGGACAATAAATAACCTTTCATTTTTGTTGGGGAAAATCGAATTTTCCATGTGTTATCCCCAGGAGCCACTCGTAAATTTACTTTCATTCTACTTAAAATGGATGTACTTTTCAACCCTCTTCGAGGCTTGTATGCGAAAATGGGGTACCTAAACCTGTCACTATCTGACGGTCTAAAACATTTTAAATTTGGGACGCGACTTTAACACAATTGTGGGTATAGAATTTTTTTGTACATATTGATATCTTTTTTAGATTTAAAATACCTCTTAGCTTATGTACATATTTTCATTCATATAAAAATTAAGATTTCATTTCAACCAAAATTATATATTTGATAAAAAAAAATTAGACTTTTCGGTAACCCATACCAAAGCAATAAATTATTAAGTAGATATATCAGATTAATAAAATTTTAAAGATATATAATTATGAAATGTTTTTAAAATTTTAAGACGTATAATTATTTCAAAATACACTAAATTGGTCATATTGTAACCATTACCTATTAAAATTAATTAACATTTGAATATGAAGGCACAAGTCACATTATTGAAATATTAAATGTCATAATTACAGTAGCAGTGCTACAGTACCAATAATTGTTTATCCATGCCCAAGAACATAATTAGCTTTACATTCACGGACGCTATAAATTATAGCTACGCAAATAAGTAAGTAGCTCCAGCAAAATCCAATCAATATACTATAATTGTAAACTTACATAAAAACTCTAATAAAATTATTATTATCAAATGTTTAATGTTATTTATAACCCTATAAATTGCACATGGATTTAAAAAAGTCGCATTTGTTTCTATAATTAATAACTACAACTATTAAAAGTTAATGTAATTTGCTTATACCAGTGGCGTTTCAATTTGCTATTTTTAATTTACCTGCTAAACTACTTTACTTTTTTTTTTTAAATTAAGAAAATCATTGCTTGAAAATGTTCATGCTATTTTACATGGATAGTTACTTTGAACTTATGCTGTAAGTCAATGAGATACTAATGAGATCAAATGCAGCTTCAGGGAGGGAGCTGTGGGGGTCATGACCCCCCCGAGATGAAAATTCTTACGATTTATGAGCCTTTTATACAAAAAAATCTTCTTAAAAGAGACTGGCTAAAGGCAATGTCCCCCTCTCCCCCCCCCCCCCCCCCGACAATTCGTCTTAGAGCCAAATTTAAATGAAATACTAAAAGTATCCGCACCTTGGTATTTGCATTACACTTTTACGTCATGTGTCAAACAAAGGGATTTGAATTTTGATTGGTTATTTAACAGGCAAGTTCACATAGACCAAAATTTATAATAATGACATTTATTTATCCATATTTGACATATCGATGTTGATAAGTTTACTTTTGTACTTATTTCGTGTTTTATTCTTTTTAAATACCCATTATTGATCAGTGGCGCATCCAGAGTTTAAGTTTGGGGGAGGTAGTGAAAATCTTGACTTTATTTCTGATATAATTTAAAACCAAAACAAACAAAAAACATATAATATAAGTAAATTTAAAACGTACAACTTTTACATGTATAATAAATATTAAACACATTTTAAAAACATTAATAACACGGAAGCTTATAAATGAAAACATAACAAAGACAAACAAAAATATTTTCTTGGGCATAACATACTCGCATGACCAGAAAACATGAAATGAAAAAAATTATAACGTAAAATTTCAAATCTATTTATAATATGGTCTACATTTACTTGAATGTCTCTGTGTATAAACAGAAGTGATAGCCCAACTAATCTATCCTGACCCATTGTTGAACGAAGCCAGGTTTTAAGGCGCTGAAGAGAGGAGAAGCTTTTTTCAGCTGAAGCTACACTAACGGGTAGAGTGATCAAAAGTTGTAGGCATTTTTTTAATAAAGGAAATATATGTTCATCGCAAGACGAATATAAATCGATACCATCTGTAGCGTTTTTACGCTTTTGAAAATGGAAGGAAAAAATATATTGAACTCGTAGGTATTCAAAGATTCCTCGTTAAAACGAAATTGGAGATCTTGCAATATATTATCTAACAAAGGAATATAGATGCTAAGTCTAAAATAAGATTCGCTATTTTCTGCAGATATATTGGGGCGATGCGTTTGTCTCTGAGTAACTCTTGGTTTGATAATTTCTAAATCTAGTTTTTTATGAATATCTGACATTAAAGTAAAAATGGTCCTAAAATAAGTTTCGGAATTTCGACGTCTTTCTTTTAAAATAGTGTTAACATTTTGTGTAAGCGTAGTAACATAGTGTTCATCAATTGACTTCTTTTGCAATATTTTACTTAAATTTACAGTCAAAGCTAAAATATCAGACAGAGAGCATAAAGAAACTAGAAAAACGGTGGAACCTATAGCATTTTTTAAACATTCTGCTTTTGAAGAGGCATCTTGATCTTTCCAATGGGAAATAATATCAAGTAGGTCTACAATGATTTGAATAGTACTTTGAAATTGAAGCTCAGATTCGTGACGTTCAACCCATCTGGTCTCACAAAGACTTTTAAGCTGACTATGGCCATCTAACTTTTGCGGAAGCTCTAAAAAATGCATTTACCTCTTTTATAACGCCAACGGCATTTCTAACACTTTAAAAGTTTGAGCTTTTTGAAATAGATAAATTTAATGAGTGGCTGGCACAAGGCACAAAAATTGGATTTGTAGAAAAAAGTCATTTGAAATCAGGATGGTATTATTTTAGTATAAAAATGGCGACTACCGATTGGTTTTGTAAAATACTGCTTACAAATAAGAAAACATGGATAAACAGCTCTTTTTGGCAATCAAATTGAAGGTCAACAAGTTATAACGTCTGCAGTATAAGTGAATATTGTTTTTAAAATAAAAATTCGTGGGCTTACAGCAAAAAATCAAATTTCATGTGATTTGAGTTAATAATATTATCAAGTTACGTGCTAGAGTCAGATCTACAAAAAAAATTACCCAAGTCATATTTTTGTAAATATGGTTTTAACAGATAACTTGGACATTTTAACTCAAAACACACAAAATTTGACCTGATCAGGATACCTATTCTCTAACTCATGGGAGCACTCCCACACTCCCATGCTCCCATACTCCCATGCCAACGTTGCCAAGTCGACAGAATAACTTTGATCTACTATTTAAGGACCGATCCATCGTTGTGTTAAACGAAGTTTAAAATGACATTTTTACATTAACAATGTCATTTTAATCTCCGTTTAACTCAACGGTGGAATCAGCCCTTAGTAATTCAAATTTGCTTTGTGATAAATACGGACCTAATCTGGCAAGCCCGCAATTCTCCCTCCCATAGTATAAAATCTGACCTTACTACGCATGTACCTGGGCTAAAAGTGAGTAAGCACGATATACCCACCTAAGAGTAAGAGAGCAAAATATATGGGAGCACTCCCATGGGAGCGCTCCCATGACTTAGTGAATAGCTATCCTGTAGTTGAATTATAACCAGTTTAAACAGCATATAAAATAAAATCTGCATTTCACTTTCGTTTGACCCCGTATACCTACGTACTATCAGTTCGGTCGGGAGGACAGGTTTCCACCTTATTGAAATGTAAATCGACTCTCATTTGTTTAGTTCGATTAACGCTGATATTAATAGCCTGCTGCATTTCTGTAATTTCTTTCCTATGCAAAATTCTCGTCGCAACTGGAATTTCGCATCGCGTCCAAAACGTGTTATTTTCCTTGTATACACTGTAAATTGGCGCAAAGGATTTAAGTGATGCGAAAAAATGATGCAAATGAGGTAATACAGATGCACGCGTTTTTCTCGTTTTACTTTCTGGCCGTTTTTGAATAAGTAAGTTGTTAGCGTCCCACGGCTTCTTATTTTCATTTGTTTTTGTCGAGCTATATTTCAGCGGGCTGTTTATCCTTAGACGATGCTATTTTCTCTTGATTTGCAGCACCAACGAACATTTTTCAAACGATCTAATATGATCTGAGCTAAAAATTTAGGTTGTTTAGTTGCAGAACATTTAGAATGACGATACATATATGAACAATTTACTTTATTTTTAATTCCTATCTGGTACAAAAATTGGTTTTCGTTCTAGCTAGTTTGATATTATAATGGATTTACTTAAGAAAGTGTGCCCTTTAATTATCCTACATAATATGCAGTGTGTCATTTAAAATTTTTAAATAAGAATGACGCGAAATGAGGTGGGGTAGCGGGATGAAAAGTATGTGAAATTACATCTCCCCATTCACTACAATAAACATTAATTACCAAAAAACTCCAACTAGATTTTATTACTAAAAACTGGACATTATTATTGTTATATACGGGCTTTGCGGCCTGACGCCGACCCTGTTTAATATTTCTTGGTATGGGTTTTATATGGACTTCGCGATAAATCTGTATCGGTGAAGTTCACACATATGACAAAAAGGCCAGTGGGAATTCGGTAGTTGAAGAATAAATATTATAATTATTACAGAAGGTGTTTTATTCATTAACTGCCCTAAGACAGAACAATTATAATATCATTTATCTTACACAGATAATTATTAATTTAACTGGTAAAAATAAAATAATAATATAATTTGTAAAAAAGAGTAGATAACAAAAGGCTTAATAAATTTAACAAAGCAGAGAAATAAATTACACAAACAACACAAAGATGACCCTAAAACATTTATTAATTATAAAAAAATTAGACAGATTAATACGAATAGCAAGCTGATTATTATAAAAGAGAAATAACCGGAGACAATAGAAAAACAAAAAAAAAATTATAAAAAAACGACTTGAAACTGGCGATCTTATATATACCGAAACAAATATCAAATGAATTTAACATTTTTTTTTCTTCCAAAAAAATTATCTTCTCATTAAAGAAACCTAATACTCCAAATCTTAATAAGTATTATCTACAAAATTCCTCATTTTTAGAGTCACAAAAAATGAAATAAAATTTTCAAAATAAATAAATACATCTACATACCGTTTTAAAACTTAATATTAAGTGGTCTTAAGGTCGAAGTCACATACCTGAAACAAATATAAATAAATTAGATTCAATGTTTATTAAACAAAAATTAATTATTTTTAAGAGTAGTATACCAAGACCTTGATAATAACCAGTTATTTTTGTTGAATCTAAATCTCGAGAATATTTAATATCAATTTAATGAGACATAATGACAGAGTGATCTGACCAAGCGAAGTTAATTGTCGTGTCGTAATCTACGTGCGATGCACAATATGGTGCTGAAAAGAAAGTTGTTTATAACGCATGAATCTGTTGACCTCTCTTTTTAACTACAGGCATTCGCGGAAACCGCTGGCGTTCAATCAGCAATCAAAACGCAGTAACGTACCAAAAAATAGAGATTAACATGTACGAAAATATTAAAACTATAAAAATTTAACAGGGTATTCACTGCAAAATTGAAAGAATGGATAAACCGTTCCTAATAAACCGAAATATTAGATTTATTTGGTCGGCTCTATGGGTTTGTTCGGGTTTCCTTAAAACTTGATGCCAACCGTCCGAGAACCAGTTGAACAGTTGATTTCCAAATTATCTGTCGCGTAGAACTGTTAAACAGTCCACTAGTCAACTAGTCCTTTGATAGTTCATTATTTTTGAAAAATCCGAACAGACCTTATGAGTGTTGAAAAACGTTCAGATGGATTTACAAAACATTCGCTAATGCACCACTAAAGTTATAATACAACAGACCAGTATAAACGGTCCATATCAAAAGAACATTTGCTAACTAGGTATTTTTATAATAAATCGCTCATACAATTTAATCTTTTTAAAAAATATTTTCTATACCTGTTGTTTTTTATAATTCCAGCGGTTGGTCGGTTGGTGTTGGATTAATTTATTATTATGAATAGATTATGTTACCCAAATCTGGAACAACTGTATAAAAAACCCGTATTGTGACAGTCTTGTACATCGCAATGTTTAATAAATTCTTTTAATTGGACAAAAACTACAAATTAATTGAAAGAAAAAATGGCAGATAATAGGTTTTTTATTTTAGTACCTATAACTTATGTTTGAATACAAGTTTAAATGAATATGTGAAATAAATTATTTGACTATTCTAAAACAGATCTATATTCATTTGAAGAGCTAGGAATATATGCAAAACGCCATATTTTGCATATGCTGCATATATATACAATTTTTGATTTTGAATGCATATATTGACATTTTGTTAATTTTTTGGCATATATTTGACGTACTAATTGGCTGGACATATTAAAATTATGAGTTTTGGAACAAAATAATATTATTTTGTAAAATGCCTTTACAGGTCGATTTCCTAAAATTTTTAAGGATTAACTTTTCCCTGTAATAAATTACGGTTAATGGTGTAGGTACTTGAAAGGATTAAATTATAAACACCCTCCTTAAACCAACAAATTTTGCTAAATATCTTTTTAGGTAGTTGTATTAATATCTTGAAATTTCTAAATGACTCAGTTTACTTTCAACTTCATTTCAGTCTTTATTGTTGTGTTGTGTTAACCAGTGGTAAAAATGGCAAAATTAATTGAGTCGTGGGTAAAATCTTATTCAGATTTTGTTTTAAAAGGTGATAACCAGGTGTTTTGTAAAACATGTTCTAAAATTGTAAGTACTTTTTTATTTTATATTTTATTTTGACCTTTCACAATGGTAAATCAAACGACAGTGAAATATTATTTCAACTCACAGTTTAAAAAAAAGTAGGGCAACTTTACAACGTACGCATTTATTTAATTTAATTAAAACTTCAACATCTACAGGAATTTATTTGTTTTAGATTCCATGTAAAAAAAAGTTTCAAATCGACCAACACGCGAAAACTCCCTCACATATAGCAAAGCAGAAATCTGACTGAGCCATCTAACTTTAGGCCCATATCTCTAATTCCGACACTCGGAAAAATTATTGAGAAACTTGTAAAAACTCGACTAGTTAGATATCTAGACCAAAATAATATATTGGACATAAATCAATTCGGTTTTCAACACAACAAAAACGTATCGGACGCTGTTTCTTCTTGTTTGGAATTAGCTTATACAAGTTTAAATTTCAACGAGGCCGTAGCTGCAGTATTTTGTGATCTGACTAAAGCTTTTGACTGTGTCAACCATGGAGTACTGCTGCAAAAGCTTGAAATTTATGGCATAAGAGATGTGGCCTTGAGATGGATGAAATCCTACCTTTTAGGTCGCAAACAGTTAGTCCGAACTGTTTCAGACTCGAACACAAGTGACATAAAATGGGGTGTCCCTCAAGGTTCTGTTCTTGGGCCCACCCTGTTTTTAATTTATATCAATTATTTAGGTAAGTTAAATATCTCAGGAAGTTTTACTCTATTTGCTGACGATACTACTATCTTGTGGCACAATAAAGACGTCAATATTCTTTATGCAAATATTAGTAATGACCTAAAATCCTTTAAATTTATAAAAAAACAAAAATATTAACCTTTAAATGTAATGTTACTGATATTTTAATAGATATGGATACTGTAGAAGCCACAAACTGTACAAAATTTTTGGGTTTAAATATCGACATGGATTTGAAATT